TTTGCTCAGTTAGTTCCAAAGAAATTTTTGCAGAAGAAACGCATACTCAGGGTTCCCAGTCTGTTTCATAGTTCTGGTATAAATCTCCTTCAGTTTTCACTCTAATACTTAGTTGGAGTCAGTAACTCACAATTTATATGTATGAAGTGAAGTTTCCTTCTAATAGGAAACTTGTGTTCCAAACAAGCTAGTTGAAGGGTGGCTTTCACACACACTTAACTCTCAGCAATGAGCATGTGGAGAGACGTTCTTTCATAGATCACAAAGGGAATGACATCCCAGGGAAACAGTTTCTCTGGTTTCTCAGTGTTTTCTAGTCCCGGTATGAAGTTCCTGCAGTTTTCACTGTAAAACCGTATTGGAGTTATTGTCCATCCATATATATATCTATGTAGTGGAATTTGAAATTTAAAAGAAACATTGTTTTCCCAACAAGCTAGGTAAAGGACGGCTTTCACACACAGTTATTTCTCAGAAATGAGCATGGGGGTTGTAGTATGCTGAGTTAACACAAAAGAAAGTGCTGCATTAGAAACAGATTCTCTGGTTTCTCAGTCTATTTCCTAGTGTCGGTATGAATTTCCTGCATCTTTCACTCTAATACATAGTTGAAGTCAGTAACACCCAATATATATGTATGTAGTGAAATTTCAAACTGAATAGAACCTTTTTTCCCAACAAGCTAGGTGAAGTACGGCTTTCACACACACTTCACTCTCAGCAATGAGCATGTTGGGAGACGTTGATTTATAGAGCACAAAGGGAACGGGATTCCAGGGAAAAAATTTTCTCTGGTTTCTCAGTCGGTTTCCTAGTGCCAGTATAAATTTCTTGCAGTTTTCACTGTAATAGCGAGTTTGAGTCAGTAACTCCCGATATATATGTATGTAGTGAAGAATCCAACTGAAAAGAACCTTGTTTTCCCAACAAGTTAGGTGAAGGGCGGCTTTCAAACACACTTAAATCTCAGCACGGAGCAAGTGGAGAGACGTTCGTTCATAGAACACAAAGATAATGGTATAACAGGGAAACAATTTCTCTGGTTTCTCAGTCTGTTTCCTCGGGCCTATATGAAGTTAATGCAGTTTACACTGTTAAAAGGTGTTGGAGTTATTACCTTTCCATATATATTTATGTAGTGGGTTTTGAAACTTAAAACAATCTTTGTTTTCCCAACAAGCAAGGAAAAGGACGGGCTTCACACAGAGATATATCTCAGAACAGAGCATGTGGAGAGAAGTTTGTTTATTTAACACAAACAAAGTGTTGCAGGGAAACACATACTCTGGTTTCTGAGTCTGTTTCCTAGTGTGGTTATGACTTCCTGCAATTTTCACTGTAATAAAGAGCTAGAGTCAGTAACTCCCCGTTTACATATAAGTATTGAAGTTTCCAACTGTAAAGAACCTTCTGTTCCCAACAAGCTAGTTGAAGAACGGCTTTCACGCACACTTAACTCTCAGCAATGACAATGTGTAGAGACATGCGTTCATAGAGCACAAGGGAACGGAATTCAAGGGAAACATTTTCTCTGGTTTCTCAGTCTGTTTCCTATTGCCGGTATGAATTTCCTGCAGTTTTCACTCTAATACTTAGTTGGATTCAGTAACTAGCCATATATATGTAAGTAGTGAATTTTCCAACTGAAAAGATCCTTGTGTTCCCAACAAGCTAGGTGAAGGGTGGCTTTCACTCACGCTTAACTCTCAGCACAGATCATGTGGAGAACTTTCGTTCATAGAGCACAAAGGGAACTGGATTCCAGGGATACAAGTTCTTTGGTTTCTCAGTGTTTCCAAGTGCTGGTTTGAAGTTCCTGCAGTTTACACAGTAAAACTGTATTTGAGTTATTGCCTATCCATATATAAACTTATGTAGTTGATTTTGAAACTTAAGAGAAACTTTGGGCTCCCAACAAGCTAGGGAAAGGATGACTTACAAACCCAAATATATCTCAGAACTGAGCATGTGGAGACAATTTTGGTCAGTTAGCACAAATGAATGTGCTGCTATAGAAACACCTACTCTGGTTTCTTAGTCTTTGTCCTAGTGCCGGTAAGAAATTTCTTCAATTTTCACTCTAATACATAGTTGGACTCAGTAACTCCCCATATATATGTATGTAGTGAAATTTCCAACTGAAAAGAACCTTATGTTCCCAAATACCTAGGTGAAGGACGGCTCACACACACTTAAATCTCAGAACTGAGCATGTGGAGACATGTTCGTTTATAGAGCACAAAAGGAATGGGAATCCAGGGAAACAATTTTTCTCATTTCTCAGTCTGTTTCCTAGGGCCAATATGAAGTTCTTGCAGTTTTCACTATAAAACACTGTTGGAGTTATTAACATTCCATATATATATTTGTAGTGGAATTTGAAATTTAAAAGAAACTTGTGTTCCCAACAATCTAGGTAAAGGAAGGCTTTCACACACAGATATATCTCAGAATTGGGCGTGAGGAGAGAATTTATTCCTTTAGCACAAAAAAATTGTTGCAGGAGAAACACTTACTCTGGTTTCTCCGTCTGTTTCCTAGTGCCGGTATGAAGTTCTTGCAGTTTCACTGTAAATCTGTGTTGGAGTTATGACCTTTCCATATATATATATATATATATATACAGTTGGTTTTGAAATTTAAAAACACTTTGTTCTCCCAACAAGCCAAGTCTAGGACGGCTATCACACACAGATATATCTCAGAGCTGAGCATAGGGAGAGTAGTTTGCTCAGTTAGCACAAAAGAATGTGTTGAAATACAAACATATTCTATGGTTTCTCAGTCTGTTTCCTAGTGCCTGTATGACGTTCCTGCAGTTTTCAATCTAACCCAGAGATGGAGTCAGTAACTCCCAATGTATATGTATGTAGTGAAGTTTCCTACTGGAAAGAACCTTGTGTTCTCAACAAGCTAGGTGAAGGACGGCTATCACACACACTTAACTCTCAGCACAGAGCATGTGTAGAGACATACATTCATACAGCACAAAGGGAATGGGAATCAAGGGAAACTATTTCTCTGGTGTCTCAGTCGGTTTCCTAGTGCCAGTATGAAATTCCTGCAGTTTTCACTTTAATACTGAGTTCACGACAGTAACTCCACATATATATGTATTTAGTGAAGTTTCCAACTGAAATGAACCTTGTGTTCCCAACAAGCTAGGTGAAGGGTGGCTTTCACACACACTTAACCCTGAGCACAGAACATGTGGAGAGAAGTTCATTCATAGAGCACTAAAGAAACGGGATTCCAGGGAAACAATTACTCTGGTTTCTCAATCTGCTTTCTAGTGCTGGTATGAAGTTCCTGCACTTTTCCCTGTAATATAGAATTGGAATCAGTGACCCCCGATATATATGTATGTAGTGAAGTTTCCAAATGAAAAGAACCTTTTTTCCCAACAAGCTAGTTGAAGGAAGGCTTTCACACACACTTAACTCTCAGCAATGATCATGTGGAGAAACATTCGTTCATAGAACACAAAGGGAATGGGATTAAAGGGAAATAAATTCTCTGTTTCTCAGTCTGCTTCCTACTGCCGGTATGAAGTTCCTGCAGTTTTCACTGTAAAACCATGTTGGAGTTATTACTTTTCCATATATATATATACATGTATTGGTTTTGATACCTATAAGAAACTTTGTGTTCCTAACAAGCTAGGTTAAAGAAGGCGTTCACATACAGATATATCTCAAAACTGAGAATGTGGAGAGAAATTTGTTCATTTAGCACAAAAGAAAATGCTTAAGGAGAAACACATACTCTTGTTTCTCAGTCTGTTTCCTAGTGCCGGTATAAAGTTCTTGCACTTTTCCCTAAAATACAGTGTTGGGGTCAGTAATTCCCCATATATGTGTATGTAGTGAAATGCCAAACTGAAAAGAACCTTGTGTTCCCAACAAGCTAGATAAAGGATGGCTTTCACACACAGATATATCTCAGAACTGAGCATGTGGAGAAAAATCTGTTCATTTAACCCAAAAGAATGTGTTGCTGGAGAAACACATACTCTGGTTTCTCAGTCTGTTTCCTAGTGCCAGTATGAAGTTCCTGCAGTTTTCACTTTAATACAGAGTTTGAGTCATAAATGCCCCATATATATATATATATATATATATATATAATGAAGTCTCCAACAGAATAGCACCTTGTGTTCCAAAAAAGCTAGGTGTAGGACGGCTTTGACACACACTTAACTGTCAGCACTGAGCATGTTTAGAAATGTTCATTCTTGGAGCAAAAAGGGAATGGGATACCAGTGAAAAAATTTCTCTGGATTCTCAGTCTGTTTCCTAGTACCATTTTGAAGTCCCTGCAGGTTTCACTGTAATACAGATTTTGAGTCAGTAACACCCCATATATATTTATTTAGTGAAGTTTCCAAATGTAAAGAACCTTGTGTTCCCAAACTAGCTAGGTGAAGGACTCCTTCAAACACACTTAACTCTCAGCACTGACCATGTGGAGAGAAGTACGTTCATTGAGCACAAAGGAAAGGGATTCCAGTGAAAAAATTTCTCTGGTTTCTCAGTCTGTTTCCTAGTGCCGCTATGAAGTTCCCTCAGTTCTCACTATAAAACCTTGTTTGAGTTATTAACTTTCCATAAATATATATGTAGTGGATTTTGAAACTTAAAAAAAACTTTGTGTTCCCAAAAAGCTAGGTAAAGGATGGCTTTAACACAGATATATCTCCTAACTGAACATGTGGAGTGAACTCTGTTCATTTAGCACAAAACAAAGTGTTGCAGGAGAAACACATACTCTTTTTTCTCAGTGTGTTTCCTAGTTCCAGTATGAAGTTCCTACATTTTTTACTGTAATACAGGGTTGGACTCAGTAAATCCCCATATATATGTGTGCAGTGAAGTTTACAACTGAAAAGAACCGTGTTTTCCCTACAAGGTAGGTGAAGGACTTCTTTCACACACACTTAACTCTCAGCACTGAGTTTGTGGAGAGACATTCTTTAATAGAGCAAAAAGGGAACGGGGTTCCAGGGAAAAAATTTCTCTGGTTACTCAGTCTATTTCCTAGTGCTGGTATGAAGTTCTTGCACTTTTCACTTTAATACAAAGTTCGGGTCAGTAACTCCCCATATATATGTATGTAGTGAAATTTCAAACTGAAAAGTATCTTGTTTTCCAACAAGCTAATAAAGGACGGCTTTCACACACAGATATATCTCAGAATTGAGCATGTGGAGAGAAGTCTGTTCATTTAGCACAAAAGAAAGAGTTGCTGGAGAAAAACATACTCTGGTTTTTCAGTCTGTTTCCTTGTGCTAGTGTGAAGTTCCTGAAGTTTTCATTTTAATACAGAGTTGGAGTAATTAACCCCCATATATATATATATATATATATATATATATATATATATGTAGTGAAGTCTCCAACAGAATAGAACAATCTGTTCCCAAAATCTAGGTGGAGGACGGCTTTCACACACACTTAACTCTCAGCACTGTGCATTTGTAGAGACGTTCATTCATAGAACAAATTGGGAACAGGATTCCAGTGAAAAATTTCTCTGGTTTTTATGTCTCTTCCCTAGTGCCGGTATGAAGTTCCTCACTTTTCACTTTAATACTGAGTTCAAGACAGTAACTCCCCATACACATATATTTAGTGAATTTCCAACTGAAATGAACCCTGTTTTCCCAACAAGCTAGGTGAAGGACGGCTTTCACACACACTTAACTCTCAGCACAGAGCATGTGGACAGATGTTCTTTCATAGAGCACTTAGGGAATGGGATTCCAGTGAAATAATTTCTCTGGTTTCTCAGTCTGTTTCCTAGTGACGGTATGAATTTACTGCAGTTTTCACTGTAAAACCGTGTTGCAGTTATTACCTTTCCATATATGTAAATTTAGTGGACTTGAAACTTAAAAGAAACTTTGTGTTCCCAACAAGCTAGGTAAGGACGGCTTCCATACAGTGCTATATCTCAGAACTTATCATGGGGAGAGAAATTTGTTCATTTAGAACAAAAGGAAGTTTTGCAGGAGAAACACATACTCTGGTTTCTCAGTCTCTTTCCTAGTTCCTGTATGAAGTTCCTGCAGTTTTCACTTTAATACGGAGTTGGAGTCTGTAACTCCCCATATATATGTATATATTGAAGTTTCCAACAGCAAAGAACCTTGTGTTCCCAAAAAGCTATGTGAAGGACGGCTTTCACTCACACTTAACTCTCAGCATTGTTCATGCTGAGAGACATTCGTTCAGAGAGCAGAAAGGGAACGGGATTCCAGGGAAAAATTTCTCTGGTTTCTCAGTCTCTTTTCCTAGTGCAGGTATGAATTCCATGCAGTTTTCACTGTAAAACCTTGTTGGAGTTTTTACCTTTCCATATATATATATATATATATGTAGTGGATATTGAAACTTAGAATAAACGTAGTATTCCCAACAAGCTAGGTAAAGGATGGCTTTCACACACAGTTATATCTCAGAACTGAGCATGTGGAGAGAAGTATGTACATTTAGTCAAAATAAAGTGTAGCACTAGAAACACATACTCTCGTTTCTCAGTCTGATTCCTAGTGCCGGTATGATGTTCCTGCAATTTTCACTTTAATACAGAGTTGGGTTCAGAATCTCCCCATATATATGTATTTAGTGAAGTGTTCTTATGAAAAAAACCTTGTGTTACCTACAAGCTAGGTGAAGGACGGCTTTCACACACACTTAACTCTCAGCACTGAGCATGTGGAGAGACGTTCGTTCATAGAGCACAAATGGAACGGTATTCCTGGGAAACAATTTCTCTCGTTTTTCTTTCTGTTTTCTAGCGCCGGTTTGAAGTTCCTGTAGTTTTCACTGTAACAAAGAGTTCGAGTCAGTAACTCCCCATATATATGTATTTAGTTAAGTTTCCATCTGAAAAGAAACTTGTGTACCCAACAAGCTATGTGAAGGACGGCTTTCACACACAATTATCTCTCAGCACTCAGCATGTGGAGAGATGTTCGTTCATAGAGCACAATTGGAACGGGAGACCAGGGAAACAATTTCTCAGGTTTCTCAGTCTGTTTTTATTGCCGGTATGAAGTTCCTGCATTTTTCACTGCAAAACAGTGTTAGATTTTTTACCTTTCCATATATATAAATATGAAGTGGATTTTGAATTTTAAATAAATTGTGTGGTCCCAAAAAGCTTGGTAAAGTGCAGCTTTCACACACAGATATACCTCCGAACTTAGCAATTGGAGAGAATACTGTTCATTTAGCACAAAATAAAGTGTTGAAGGAAAAACACATACTCTGCTTTCTCAGTCTGTTTATTAGTGCTGGTATGAAGTTCCTGAAGATTTCACTGTAATACAGATGAGGAGTCAGTTACTCCCCGTATATATGTATGCAGTGAAGTTTACAACTGAAAAGAACCTTGTGTTGCCAACAAGCTAGGTGAAGGAAGGCTGTCATACACACTTAACTCTCAGCACTGAGTATGTGGAGAGAAGTTCATTCATAGAGCACAAAGGGAACGGTAATCCAGGGAAACAATTTCTATGATTTCTAAGTCTGTTTCCTAGGGCCCGTATGATGTTCTTGCAGTTTTCACTGAA